CAATCTTGTGTAATCACCGTATTGTGTTACGCGGTAAATCAGTGTGCTCCAAGGGAGAATTTTCCTCTTGAAAAACAATTTTTACCGTGGAAAAGCTGGCTGTGAACATASAAATATATACGACTCATATTGCTACGAAAATAGGGGTAAAACGATTTTTTGTTTTACATGAATTGTGAAGGTGTTTTTGTAAAAAGGACATCCTTCATGCGAAGGCGTTATTGATCATAAAGCGTAATTGGCGTGATCCGATGGCCGTTTCGTGCTATCATTTGAGAAATCACCCTCCCTGAATTTAACGCAACGAGGGGAATGGTGACAGTAATTATTGGTGTTTTAATACCTAGCTGGAAATTAACACATTTCAGAGGAAAGCATTTTTTTCTCCGGCATTTCAGTAGTTATTTTCGTGTGGAAAAGTAGATTTAATTCGGCAATGTTTTAGTACTATTGTCAAGAAACTCATAAAGTCATAACTTAAAACGGAATAATAGCGATTGGAATTGTATGATAGGTACCTACAATGAAAAATATTGACGACACGAAATTAGAATTATAGTAAGGTATATGTTTATGTAATTTGTGCAATGTAAACTTCTTAAAAATCAACTACTCTCAAAGATACAACGACCCCTCTCCCTCGCACGATCTTACCTTGAGATTTTTAAAACGCTTCGTCAGGACAATCAAGTCTCTGGTAGCCCGGACGTTGGTGTAGACTGCGGTGTGCAACGTGCAGTAAGGGTGATTGTCTGACCTGGTAGCTGCCGCTAGGTGTATGATGGCATTTATTTTGGACGCGATTCTGTTCCAGACAGCCTCATCCACGCCAATGTTCGGCTGAAAACAGTCACCTCTCACTACTTGCACTTGGCTGCGGTACGTGGGATTTTCAATTTTCATGCGGTCGAAAAACTATAACCGGAAAACATAATTAAGACACCCAGATTGGAACATATAAAGATGATAGGAAAATGAAGGTAATAAAATGCAATGAAAATTAAGTATTTTAATTTAATTTATTCAGTTATATACATGGTAGAGCATTTTTAGTAGCTATTTAATATTTCAACAAGCGAATAGTAAATTGATAAAGGGGTTACCATAAAATGATGTCCTCAGCTAGTTCTCTCCTCAAAACTTAAAATACTTATACCTAAGTAAAACTAAATAGTTATCTTAGCTATACTAGTTCAAAGGTTAATAATTTAGTATATTTTAATATAACCGTGAAAAATATACTTGGGAATATGAAATAAAAAATTTCTGCTGTCAACGAAGTAAAATGCTTTTTTCTTAAATATTGTTTTTTAAGGACTTTGAATTATCTAAAAAAATGTTCATGCAAACTTTTAGAGAAAATTGGTGTTCACATTTAAAACAATCATCATATAGATTATGTATACGAGGTCAGCAAACGAACATCAGATTTTATCGCATAATGCGATTCGCATTATAATCGCATTATAATCGCATTAGAAACGTTGATCGTTTAAAACAAAGCGATATGAAATATATATAAATTTCTAGACTCAATTCGATTTTAATTGTGTCCCTAGTTACGAGTTACAAGTGATACAAGGATACAACTTACAACCACTCTCTAGAATTGTGGACAATATTGTGAACAAATTAAATTTATTTTTACGTCGTTGATAATTTTTAAATACGTAATAATATAAATAAACTATGTTTATGCGATTTGTTTTTATCGCTGATGTTTATATTCAACAAGTCTACTTAATATTGTAAACAAAATATTAATTAAATGTTGTAATTAATATACGCTGAAGTTGAAATTAAATTTTATATATTTTTGAAAATTTTATAAAAATTACACTTTTTTGCTGGACTGATAATTATTATAAACTTGCACTATAATTTGGTAATTCACGACATAAATTGGCTATATATATAAATGTACATATATATTATTATTGTCTAATATTAATAGTGTATTTTTTAATTGCATTATTATAATTACATATTATTTATGCTTCAGTGGGTATATTATACAAGTTCATTTTGCAGTTATTTAGATCCAGGGATGTCCACCATCACCCAAAAATCCACAACAACTTTCGTGAAACTAAACGATTGAAAATATGACTTTCTTAAACCTTTAAATGTTATTGTATTATATTTTATTCGTAATATTAAATTTATTATGGCCCGGTGTGGCGGTGTTGCGCAGTGGCTCAGATGGCAGGTCATAAAACACGATCTGAAAGTATAAGCACCAGCCCGCAGCCGGTGCCTTTTTAGTGACGCATACTCTTGTAGTCTTATACGAACACAGTAAAAAAACTAACTTATAATGAAGTTCTACACAATGGGCAATGGCATATGATAACACAGGATGATTATAAAAAAAAACAAATTTAAACCTGACGTACTTTGATTGATGATGATTATATAAAACTGTTATTAATTGTTTCAAAATGTTGGCTAGCGTATACTCAAATATTATTTCGAGTAAAATGTTATTTTAAAATTTATGATTCGCGTTTGGTTCGATAAATAAAAATAACAAAACATTTAATCGTAACTATACTCGCTCCCCGCGATATCAGATAGTTTTTAATTTATTTGCTTTACACTCATTTTTAGTCGCAAATGTGACCTTTATCTACGATTTCCTATTCGATAGAGACGTTCTGTGTATCTACTGTTCTGGAGCGAATAGTCTGAGTATATGCATATGCAAATTAAGGTACACGAACGCGAATAAAATAGTATACCTAAAAATATAAATGCTTACACCTACCTAGATTCTGATATATTATTATTATTCATCTAATTGACCCGTTTGCAGGTGACGTTTACTGACAACACCTGTATAATATATTGCTATAAATTATAAAATCCTGTCATTCAGTGAGAGACCTTGCCATGCGTTTTGTTGACCTTTTATACGGTTCGATGGTTCCTGCACCGCGATCGTCAGTTTTAGTATTGCGTTTACGAAAGTTTTGCTCTTTAAAAAAAACTTAATTTTCTAAATTACCTTAAAACATTATTTAACATTATTGAACATAACATATTTGTATATTATTAAGGTACTAATGTAAGCCCAACTATAATGTATTGCTGTTTTTATTCAATAACAAAGTCTTCGTCTAACCACTTTGATATTTTTGTTTGACCTAATACATTGATAAATAAAAAAGCGATAAACCAATAGTACGTTTGAGTTATTTAAAATTGACTAAAATCAATCATATAATACACGGAAATAATGTTAAACAAATAATTAATTTAGTTGCTATAATACTACCTACTATAATATTTTAAATACAATGAACAATATATTTTTAAATAAGCACGATATCTCACAATTGTCAAATAATATGAATCGTTATTATGTAGGTAGCAATAGTAACGAAATATAATTGTTTTTTTAATAGCCATTTTACTTATAATGCTACAAATGTAATTMTGAAGTTTAAGCATTGATTATAGAATAGATAGAATAGAATAGAATCTATTCTATAATCAATGGTTTAAGCTTTTAAGGTGTCCCCATCTGTTTAAGTAGTAGGTTCAAATATGAATAAAACAAAACATTTAGAAAATATATATACTTACCATCAAATAGTTTTAAAAAATTTTATTTAAGCCACATACTCATATCCATTAAGTGAAAAATTATAATCAATTAATTACCGGACTATTAAACATTTCTTTGACCCTTTCATTAGGATTTTGTCCATTCAGTGGTCTCACGATCAAATAAATTGTGTTCAAATCACGACATGATCTGAAGAATAAAGTCAATACTAAGTATATCAACAACATTCTAACATTATATGGTAGGACTTACCTTAAAAGTTTTTCAATTAAGACTTTTCCAACAAAACCTGTTCCGCCAGTAATAAGGATACAAGAACCACGGAAACATTTTTGAATTTGGCTCTCAGGAGATTCTTGGAGATCGTTTATAAAATCTTGTATAAAAATATCACCGCCTTCCATCGTAATGATATCGTGTTATCATCTAATCGAAAATTCTCAGTTTATATCGAAGTATGTTTAACTATTAACAATAATTACGAGCAGTCTGTACATAATATATATAACTCGATGCTCGATGTATGCTAATAATACAATTATCTACTGACTATATAATTATCATTTTGTAAAGCACATCATTATTTACACCGTCTCATTAGGTATACTGTATATTATGTAGGTTTAAAATAATGTGTAACGGATAATAATTAATGTTTAATT